AGACTCCGGAACAGGAAAGAAGACAGAAAAAAATGTCCAATCCATACACGAAGATGCTGCTAAGGGCAGTAGAAACAAAAGCAGGAGGAAATTTCAAAAAGGAACATATAATCAAGATTTCCTCCTACCATGGACAATGTTGTTTGTGTTTAGTCACAAGAAAACCATTGGTGATCTTTGAGCGAGTCTTGAGTACAACATTAGTGTCATGGGAATGGTTGCAGAAGAGATAGATAGGTAAGGGTGGTAAACAGGATCACAGAAAATATAGAAATAACTCACACTAATATTCCAATTGTACAATCATCTATATGCGGCAGGTCACAAGTCTCTTGAGGCAATCCCAAATAGTTTTCACTGAGCCAAACTCAAACTTTCAGAAGAGCTGATTCCTTTTTTAATCCCTGACTTTGAGATATAATTAACAAATAACATTGTCTGAATTGAAGATGGACAGTGTAATGATACATATATATGTACATATGGACAGTGTAATAATTACCACAATTGGGCTAGTTAACACAGCCTTCACCTCACAGGATTACTTGTGTGCATGGTAAGAACATTTAAGATCTGTTCTCTAGTTGATTTCAACTATACAATACAATCTCGTTAACTATAGTCACCATACTGTATATTTGATCCCTAGAACTTCTTAATCTTAGAATTAAAAGTTTTGGGCAGTCCGGGTGGCGCAGCGGTTTAGCTCTGCCTTCAGTCCAGGGCGTGATCCTGGAGACCAGGGATCAAGTTCCACGTTGGGCTCCCTGCATGAAGCCTGCCTCTCCCTCTGTGTGTGTGTGTGTGTGTGTGTGTGTGTGTGTGTGTGTGTGTGTCTATGAATAAATAGATAAAATATTTAATAAAAAGAAAAGAATTAAAAGTTTTTACCCTTAGACCAACATTTTCCCATGATCCCCCCCCCCCCGAGCCCCTGGTAACCACCAGTCTACTCTTTGCTTCCATGAGTTTACTTTTATAGGTTTCCCATATATATGTGACCATACAGTACTTACCCATAGGACTTCTCTCACAGACTTATTTCTCTTAGCATAATGCCCTCAAGAGTCATCCATGTTGTCACAAATGGCAGGATTTCCTTTTTATGGCTGAATAATATTCTAATTGTGTGAATATATTCTACATCTTCTTTGTCCCTTCATCCATTAATGGACTTAGGTTGTTTCTTTATCTTGTCCATTATGAATAACACTGCAGTGAACATGGGGGTGAATATACCACTGCACAACAGTAATTTTTTTTTTGTTTCCTTGGGATATATACCCAGAATGAGATTGCTAGATCATATGGCAGCTCTATTTTTAATTTTTTGAGGAACCTCCATCTCTTTTCCATAATGGTTGTATAAATGGATTCCTTCTTAAAAACCATAGGAGAGGACACCGGGTTGGCTCAGTAAGTTAAGCAGTTGCCCTTGGCTCAGGTCATGATCCCAGGGTCCTAGGATCGAGGCCCGCATCAGACTCCTGGCCCAGTGGGGAGCCCACTTCTCCCTCTCCCTCTGCCATTCCCCCAGCTTGTGCTCACTGGCTCTATCTCTCTGTCAAATAAATAAAATCTTTAAAAAAATCAATCAGTCAGTCAATCAATAAAACTATAGGGAAGAATCCATTTCCTTGCCTTTTCCAGTTTCTAGAGGCACCTACATTTCTTGGTTCATGGTTTCTTCTTCCATCTTCAAAATCAGCAGCACAGAATCTTCAAATCTGATCCTGAAAATCCTGCCTGCCTTTTTTATACATCAGGACTAAATGTAACCCATGAAAACCTCTCCATCTCAAGATCCTAATTCACATTTGCAAAGTCCTTTTTGCCACGTAAAGTAACATATTCACAAATCCCTGTGAATAGCATGTGGGCATTTCGGAGGAATCCTAATTTTTCTGTCTACCACAAAGTCTACATTAAAACATCAGAAGCAGTTCAGAATTGACTTTGACTTAATTCTTATGCATCAGTTTATCTTTGGGTTAAACAATGTGAGATTAATTCATTAACCAGAAAATGAAAATAACATTTTTAATGGAAAGCTTTACACTAGTCTATTATTTTCTGCTGAAAGGTCTTTAAGTTAAATGTTAAAATTCTTGTTGTAAAATTCCATTTAATGATAGTTGGGTGGCAATAACAATAAGCTAATAGCTTTCTGCCAATAGCAATATTTTGATGAGCCCATTTTTTTTTTATTGTGGCTAGACTATATATTATGGAAATCACTCTTGGCAACATCTTATGCTGTTTTTTATTTTCACTGTTATTTAATATAAAATGTTTTATTAAAAGGTTTCAAAGCCCTAGATTTTTCCTTTTGTATACATTTAAAATATAAATACTTTTTACCTAATAATATAAAGATGTATTTGAATTTCTCAACCTCTTGGATCTATAGCTTTTCCTCTGTATAAGGCTTTTCCTGTATAAAACTGAAGGGATAATGAACAAAACTACCATAAATATTAAATGAGATCATGTATGTAGCAGCTAACAATTGCTATCCCATATTAAATAGGTCTTCAATCAATTTTTAGCTTAATATAAAGATTTTCTCACTAATATTGAAGCATTTCTACAAATACTACTAATGAATAATACTACAGATAGTGTTTCTTACCAAACTAGCCAAATTCTAAGTATTTGGTTCATCTTCACAGAATTTAAGATGAAAATTCAATTCAAATAACTGAATTTAATTAAAAAATGGTGGTTTACATTCCAAGTATCTATTCAGTCAGGCTTTCGTAGGGGTACACAAAACGGTAACCTTAAGGCTTTTTAATTCTCTCTAAAGGCGCCAGTAAATTGTGAGAAAAACTTTGTGAATTTCATATATCCTGTACAGAATATTCGAAGTTGCAAATTAAGCAATTCAGGAGATCACATCTAGAATATGGCAACACTTTAAGAAATAAAAATCACAAAATGTCCTCAGTGGTTATACTTTACTTTTGAGTTGCACTGTTTAAAATTTCCTCCTGTAATTCCATGTCCCTACTTCTTTTACTCCTTGTGATTAAATAATGTTCCTGTGCTTTCACTATTTTCTTTTTGTGAAGTTGTCAAATGATCCCTGTCTCGTCCTGTGTAATTTAAGAGACTTTTATGTAGCCCTCTGAGAGACTGTCACACAAGTCCGACTAGAAGAATAATTTACGAGGTTCAAAATGAAGGGTCATTATTAATACTGTCTGGCCTGTAATGAATATGTAGACTCTCTCATCCATGCATGGCAGGGTTTTAACTAGATCAAAAGAGGTAGAATGTTTTAAATGAGGTGTTATGAATGATGTCATCGGTTACGTAAGTTTAATTTACATTTTTAAAATATGATTGTTTAATGAGATTAGACAACATGAGAAAACATGTTGTTTGGTGTGGGCTTATGTATTACTTTCAACTATTTCTTTGCCTGAAAACACAATTTCAGAAATTGTGCTTTTATAAATCCTTAGGCTAACATTTATTAGCCAATCCTAAGCTAGAATAATACACATAGTAAGTGTTCTACACTATAAAGCTAAATGTGGAAGGACAGCAAAGAGCGGGTTTTCTCAGTTTTGAAAGTTAATTTTTAAGTGCTTCTACTTTATCAAAGTATTCCTGACTTGTGTTCAGCCATCATTGGTACTAATCATGTTTATGTAGCTTTTTCTTACCATTTCAATGTCCAGTGTTTTTTCTTAATTACAGCAGGCAAATCTAGTTACTTCTTCTGATTAATCTCAATAGTTCAATTCCTTTCTGAGCAAGTGAAATCTTAAATATTTCCACAAGAGTTTGTTTTAAACATAAGTACGTGGTATAGGATATGCCAAATAAGGAAACAGTAACTTCAGTAGATGGACAACTATAATAGAAAAATGTCTATGTGTTTATTTATATATGCTTTATTATTTTAAACAGTCTCTAAAACTGAAGCTACTCTTCCCATCAAAAAAAAAATCATTTTTTTATTCCTCTCCATTTCCCTAGATATCCACTAACTCCTGTGTTTTTTAAATATGTACTTATGAGGGTGCATGTTTTACATCCCCACATATATTCTGAGTGTTGTGTGTTACCCATAATACTTAGCTGTATACCTTGAAAATAAATCACTAACATCTGGCTCCTGCTATTTGCTGGATGCCATTCTAAACTTTTTAGTATATTAACTCCCTTAATTTTCAAAGGATACTAGAAATAGGTACCATTATCATCTTCGCTTTACAGAGAAGGAAACAAACTCAGAACAGTTAGGCAATCAGGCCAGAGTCACACAGCCTGAAAACGGCCAAGCCTGAATCAAAGCCTGACCTTAGAGGCACCGAACATAACCCCTGCCCTGCCTCTGGAGGCCGTGGGCAGGTAAGCGTCCATCCTACTTTTAGAGTGGGTGACTTGCAGAGCACCAAGGACCTCTTCCTAACCTTAGTTACCATTATGATATTTGTTTGCTCTGGTTCTTTGATAGTTGTCACTCCTCCCATTATACCCAGAACATATTAATAGAACCTCTACTATTTAATAGATGAGTAATAGCAGCTCATATTTATTAAGCTTTTACCATGTGCCAGGAAATGCATCTGATTTTAATCTTCAGACAGGCTATGATACCGACCCATTTAGAACCACTTGAGAGATGAGGATACTGAGGCAGAGGGAGGTTAGATGACTTGCCCAAGGTCACACAGCTAATACACGGTGGAGGCAGGATTTAAACTCCGAGGCCAAACTCCAGAGCTGGGCTCCAGATGAAGAAATGAATAGATGAATGGAAAGCTAGCGTGGAGGAAGCACATCTAGCCTATGTGGAAGGATGAAGTGGAAACACAAACCTGCATCGAGGCAGAAGAAACACGGGTAGCGAAGCGCAGGACAGGGTGCCTGCAGCACTCAGTAAATACAAATTAATCAGTGAATACTTTTGTAGCCCATAGGTCAAAAGGCTTTGCCTAGGTGACGTCTGTTACTAACGCTCTCCACGTATTTTCCTCTTTCAGTGCCACCGTGGGCCTTAATCGCTATAGCCATAGTTGCTGTCCTTCTAGTCCTGACCTGCTGCTTTTGTATCTGTAAGAAATGTTTGTTCAAAAAGAAAAACAAGAAGAAGGGGAAAGAGAAAGGAGGGAAGAATGCCATCAACATGAAAGACGTGAAAGACTTAGGGAAGACCATGAAAGACCAGGTAATGTTTTCCTACCGTATCACTTCTTCGATGATTTTGTTACAAGTTCATAGATGACTTATAATTTGATGCCAGAGGAGTGTGGAAATATGGAAATAAACAACTTCTGGACAGATGTCACTGTTGTCAAAATGCTTTGCAATCCTTTCAGTAATTATGCAATGTCCCAAAGTGCAAGGAAAACATTTGGTGGGGTTTTTCCAGGCTCCTAAACATGGGAACGAGGAAAGGGCATCCACTACCGGCAGGGCCATCTTGACAGGCCCAGCAGATTGGAATGATGCCTGAGTATTTTGGTGACATCTGCTCAGCCAGTCTTAATTGCACTTAGAGTTAGAAAGAATCCAGAGTGGCTGACTGCTCTCCCTCCTGGGCAGGCTGCCTTTGTCACATCACCACTGCTCCGCAGTCACTGTTAAATAACTCAGACTTACGGCCGTCTACCATACTTGACGAAAACCACCACTCCTACCCATTCATCCACCTCGAAAATTAGCGCTAGTGCAACAGGGAGCTAAACAGTGAGTAAAAAGGGAGAGAACTGCCAGCTAGTCCTAAAGAACGGCGCATAATTTTAAGGCAAGATTCTTGTTGTTTCATGAGTTAGGGGCAATGAAATCATGATACAGGCTATGGAATCCATCGGGCTGGGTTATCTTCCCGAGGCCCAGGAAGCTCTTTGGATATTCTTTACGTTATTGTCTATTTTTATTGAACTAAGTGGATGAGTTGGTTCAGAATAAAGTTTACTATTAACAATTATATTTAGATCCCTCTTGTTTTTTGGAATCATTTTCATAGTGGGTATCTTTAAAGAACATTTAATTCATATTAATAATGTAAATGTAGAGCTTTTTCACAGAAAACAACATCTTCCATGATCTTTGTTTCCTTTCTAATAATTCAAAAGTTCTACTTATTCCCAAATAGCAACATATATCGATAGTTCTTTGAGTTCTTCTTATAGTATTAATTACTATTAACTGAACTCTCGAATAGGTGAATCTCCTTAAGAACAGTTTAGTCGAGGAGGGCATTTTTAGTACATTTGCATAGTTTCCTAGATAACCATCCACTCAGGACACCAGCCCCACTCCCCAGCTTGAGCTTTAAACACTTCTTCTCAAAGACACTGTAATGTCTATTGACAACAATTTCACAAAGGCTCTTCTGCACTCGCTGAACTGGTTTCAGAGCTATAGAATGTATGCAGTGCCTGCACTCACCCTCAGCCAGCTTTGTCCTGAACTCAGACAAGGTTTACGTTTTTCTGAGTTTTAATCACAAGCACAGAAGTCCATGTACCCACATCTGACCACAGTGGTCTAACAAAGATTTTTCTCTTGAGTTAATTTGTTACATAATAACTGCAATTTGAAAACGTGCCTTGCTCTACTTCGACATTTTCAGTACAAGCAGAACTTGACAGAGATTTCTTTAAACAATTTATTGGGAGCTTAAGTGTAGAAGGAATGTGCTAGATGGGCAGAGACTGAATAATCTGTGTGAATTTCCAGCTGTGTGTATGAAACAATTTGAAAATACAGCCCTGTCATTTTCATAACTATAATACAACACAAATGAGATTTTCCCATATCCAAGAATTAACTATTAAAAGTATTAAATAATGATAAATTATAATTACAGGATTTTTTTTTAGCATTAGAAATTTGTTTTCTTCTTTGTGGAATTTGTTCTGTATGACATAAGATAGTAACTTGGAGTATAGTTGAGGTGTTTGTTACCCCTGTAATGACCTGGATAAATGACCAAGATCTCAAAATACTAAATACATAGAATTGGTGGTGGTTAATTTTTTCACTGGTCATCAGTTCCTTTGGATGTGAGAGGAAGAGAAAATGAGTCAAATACTCAAATCCTAGTAGGAAGTCAGTGATAGTTGATAGTGATCTACTATTACAACAAGGTGTTTAGGATTTCAACCACTCAAAAAGATATCATTTCAAGCAGATTGCTTGTCTATGTAGGGTTTTATAGATCTTATTTTAATTTATGAACAATCAATTGTACAAAATGAAATGTAATTTGGACAAGGAAAAATAGGCTTTATCAGTAAACAGTCATACTATAGCAGCTTATACTACTTCTTAAGGCAGGCAATAGTAGCTAATAATGGATTCTATTGTTTTATGAAGAGGAAGGATAAAGAAGCAAATAGAATGTATGGTTTTAAGACATGTCACAGGGTAACCATTCAATCACCCAACTTCAAAACAGCATAAACAGAAAGTAAAATGCTTAAATAATTACACTTACCGAATATTTTAAACAGAGTATTGGTGTGAACATGGGGAAAACAAATATAGTCTATGCCTCTCATTTAAAAACACAACATATATGAGAGGCATTTAGGACATGATTTCTTAAGACACACAGTCTCTAGGGCAACCAGTAAGTTTTTACCATTTCAATCTCTGTAAGAATACACCGAAATTCAAATTCCAATGTTCATGGCCACCTGTCGCTATGTTGAAATTTTATAACAAAGAATTTTAAAATTCCATAATGACAACAAACTAACTAGTAATAGTATATTTATACAGCATAAGATTTATATTTGAAGGTTTTTATTTTGTTTTTGTTTTTTAATTCCCGAAAGCTTGAGAACACTGAAAAATGCAGAGAGACATTATCAATTTGCAAAGTCATAGGTCTGGAAGGGTCATTTCTCCATGGTTTTCACTAATGTGTGTGGATATTTTAATTTTTATTTCTTCCTTCTATGTCCTCCTTATCTGTGTTATGTCTCATGACTGTTCTGGATTGTCCCTTGCGGTAGGTTTCCTCTGCTCTTTAGAAACCCCTCGTCAACGCTCGGATATACATTTAGTGGCCTGGCAGCTGGGCTCCACAGCTCAGGGTGTACCATTCTGACACACATCAAGAGGCTGAACTAAATTGATTTTTTTTTAAGCTAAAGGGTTCTCATTTTAAACATTACTAACTGATTAAATAGAACAGTATTAGAAAGCTCAAGTTTTTAACTGATGGGCACAGAAAGAAAATTCAGTCCCTCAATGCTACCTTTTATATAAGTGTGCCTTATCAAATTCAAATTTGGACAATTTAACTTAAAATCATTTCTGATGGTTGTAAATTAAGCACTTTTGAATGCTGAAGCAAGACAGAAGCATGTACACTTTGAAATTTAAGACAAGATCTGATGCTCCCAACACATGGCTTTCACTACCGCAATTTAGCAAACCATCAAAACTGCTGGGTTTACAAGCTTTTTTCTCTGCATTTTGTTAAGGGGGAGGGAGGTGGAGGGAGTATTGCTCTTGAGATATTATAATAGCTACTGATTTAATAGGCCTGAATTTAATGTGATGGTCGAGAAGACGTCCTGCTTAAGCTCAGCCTTCAGGACAAGAATAGACTTAATCACTTCAGTGATGAACAGTGGCACTGAGAAATTATCAAAAATTTAGCCCTATTTCATACAGAGTAATTGCAGAGATGGTCCTGTACCTTTTATTAGGGCAAAAACCACTTAGGAAGAAGGAGATTTAATATCTCAGCTATTTCAAATTGCACTGGGCTGAAACATGATATATAAATTGTCAGTTCTGAAAGAGACTTTTGAAAAAGTATTTTAATCCATGATTTTTTTAATAATTATGATAGAGTAACGTGTAGATTTTTCAGACAGAAATATGTACTAAATAGCTTGCTATTATTTTTAAAAACTTTAAAATCTTACAGGGAGGCAATTTACCTAAGCTGCAATTTTCTAAGCACATCTACAGGAGTGTTGAAGACTGACACACAGTTAAGGTTTTGAAAGGGCTAGGTGATTTCACTGCCTCAGCTCCTCTAATTAAAGTCAGTAGTCTTTTCTGGTCACTTTACTAGCATGTTCCCTTTAATGATCTATCCCCCCTCACCCCCACCCCCCAATTTAAAAGATGTACGTTTTCAGTAATTAAATTGTTTCCTGCCTTTGGCTGTCAGGAAACCAACATTTTACTATTCAGAAAAACATTTAAGTATAAACTTTCCTACATAGATGTAATTAATAATGATAATTTTTTATTTTCCAAACTCATTAACAGCTCCTGAAAATTTTCAAGAAGCACAGAAATGGAGGCATCTCCAACTACATCTCTGCTGTTTTATAAGATCTTCCCACCCAAATGAGTTCTATTGATGCAGTGCCATCAAGTCTCAGGGGTATTTTTAGGATCAAACTGGAGTTGGCTGAGTAGAGCCAAATTGGAAAATCCTGTCGATTTCAGTGCCATTTTGAAGCACCACAGAGAAATCTCTGTTTAAATGTATGAACAGTAAAGCTTTCACTCAGCAGAGAAGAGAGAGCACGAAATCTGGAAGGTCAGGAGAGGCTAGGTGATGGAGCTGCAGTCTGAGGACTCATGCCTTTCTGAAATCCGGATATACTTCTGGCATTTGAGTTCTACGAGAATTCTCAGATTTGACTTGCTGACAGGGGTTAAAATTCCTTTACTTTATCATAGATACAAAGCAGCCTGCCACTTTGTCTTATTTTGACTTACACACCTATACATGAAAGGCAATAAAAATGCCATAACCAAAAACTATGGAAGAAGATTTGCATTATATATAAAAGCTGAGACCACTAAAATACAAAGAGTTTCTAGAAATCAATAAGAACCAAACAAAACAAAAAAAATTCAGCAAAGAATGTATACAAGCAGTTCCCAGAAGAACAAATACAGTTGGTTACTATGAAGATTTTCAAGTTTTTCCACTCACTAGTGGTCAGGGAAATGTAATTTTATCATTTTTAATTTTGAATAACTATGTATAGCTTTTTAAATTATTTTTTCCAATTCTCTAAAGCAGTAAGAATGCATATCCTTAGAAACAAAGCTCCTAATATTTACCATCTTTATAACCTTTGATTTTTTTCAGCAGAGTTGTTGTATTCAATGGGAAATACATTATCTATTTTTATGTTCAAAAGAGAGGAGCATTTGAATATATTTTGTGAAATAATGAGCTTTCTAGTATGTCAATTTACATTACACTAAGGTTTAGATGATGAAGAATACCCAGTTGGTCCAAACTGAGTTGAGACTTCAGAACCATGATTTTTGTTCATTAACGCAAAATAAATGTTTATACTGATTTCAGCTTGACAAAATTGCAAACATAACTGCTCTTGTTTTTTGGTATCAAATAGACCCATAAATCAATTTAATTCAGCCTAGCTTTCTGTGGAGCTGTTATAAAAATAAAATGGTAAACTTAAACTGGAAGTGGGGTAGATTTTTCTCTCAACATGCATTTGCTGGTGGCATGTTTCTTCCACTTTTTCCATAACCATTATAAATGTATATGTGAAACTTAGGAAATGGAAATTCTTGGAGAATCACTTACTCAGTTACCTTTCTCATAGGAAACAAGGCAAGAAAAGGCCACACATTTCATATAAATACTCCGCTGCATGTAACAATGATGTTTTACATGATGCTTAGCTTAGATCTCTTTCAACTACATGAATGTGAAACCTGGCCTGGTTAATAGCATGTTTATCATATCTCTGAAAGAAGCAGTTTTAACCAAAGCCAAACATTTTACCAAAGTGGACATTTTCTTTGCAACAACTACATTTTTCGCTTGCAATATTCTGAGGGGCTTCTTCCATTGCTTTCATGTTGCTTGCTGATTGGGAAGAAAATTCCGTGCACCAGTGGAATTTTAAAAATCTATAAGCAGCAAATGTGAATGTGTGTCAGACAAATGGATTTCCAGCATCTTAGTGCTTGCTTCTAACAGCTTGGAAGTGTAACCACAGGCCCAGGTTGATGTGGGTTTCACTGAATTCACTTGAATTCACGTATCATTCGTTTCCCTACTCCTAGGCTCTAAAGGACGATGATGCTGAAACTGGATTGACTGATGGCGAAGAAAAGGAAGAGCCCAAGGAAGAGGAGAAATTGGGCAAACTTCAATATTCACTGGATTATGATTTCCAGAATAACCAGGTCTGAGGGCTTGGGGGGTGGGGTGGGGGATGAATTCTAATTCCATTATGTTTTCTGAAATTACCAAGTAGGAATTGAAGCAAGATACTTCTTAAAACATTTCGTGTGCCGCGAGGGGAAAATGCAATTATCAAAGCTATTGATGAAATAATTTCTAAGTACAGGCAGTCCCCTACTTGCTAATTTAACCTCTGGTAATTAGAATTCACAGTATTCAACCGATTACATCTACTTATGGCACTTAGAGCAGGCAAGCAGAATACAAATGAACTTGGCAAGTCGTCCAGTCTGTTTCTGACGGCTCCCAGCCAGTCTGGCTCCCACTGGCCCATCAGCCTGAGCTCCAACAATCGCCCTTGGAATTCATGGCATTAGATCCAAACAGGGTGAGGAACTGTTGAGATAAACCACCATTCAACCAAAGCTTTATTTTATTTTTTTTATTGGAGTTCAATTTGCCAACATATAGCATAACACCCAGTGCTCATCCCGCTAAGTGCCCCCCCAGTGCCCGTCACCCAGTCACCCCCACCCCCCACCCACCTCCCCTTCCACCAGCCCTAGTTCGTTTCCCAGAGTTAGGAGTCTCTCATGTTCTGTCACTCTCACTGATATTTTCACTCATTTTCTCTCCTTCCCCTTTATTCCTTTTCACTATTTTTTATATTCCCCAAATGAATGAGACCATATAATGTTTGTCCTTCTCCGACTGACTTATTTCACTCAGCATAATACCCTCCAGGTCCATCCACGTCGAAGCAAATGGTGGGTATATGTCGTTTCTAATGGCTGAGTAATATTCCATTGTATCCATAGACCACATCTTCTTTATCCATCATCTTTCGATGGACACTGAGGCTCCATCCACAGTTTGGCTATTGTGGACATTGCTGCTAGAAACATCGGGGTGCAGGTGTCCCGGCGTTTCATTGCATCTGAATCTTTGGGGTAAATCTCCAACAGTGCAATTGCTGGGTCGTAGGGCAGGTCTATTTTTAACTCTTTGAGGAACCTCCACACAGTTTTCCAGAGTGGCTGCACCAGCTCCCATTCCCACCAACAGTGCAAGAGGGTTCCCCTTTCTCCACATCCTCTCCAACATTTGTGGTTTCCTGCCTTGTTAATTTTCACCATTCTCACAGGTGTGAGGTGGGATCTCATTGTGGTTTTGATTTGTATTTCCCTGATGGCCAGTGATGCAGAGCATTTCCTCATGTGCTTGTTGGCCATGTCTACGTCTTCCTCTGTGAGATTTCTCTTCATGTCTTTTGCCCATTTCATGATTGGATTGTTTGTCTCTTTGCTGTTGAGTTTAATAAGTTCTTTATAGATCTTGGATACTGGTCCTTTATCTGATACTCAACCAAAGCTTTAAAATGAAACCTGTTTGATAAGGGGTCAAAGATGAAAAATTGTCTGCCTTTCATGAATTTCAAAGGCAAGATGCCTTATGTAAACCATGAGACTGGGCAAAATTCCTAGTACTATTGAGCTCACCATTCCAGGAATGCAGGAGGACCAGCAACTTGAGGTCTAGTGCCTGTGACTGCTGCCCAAAAAGGAATAAGGAACTGACGACAGTAATCAGGCATTCCTGCTTCAATTTCTCAAAAAGCAGTGAAGCTCCACCGAGATGAATGATAATATCAGCTACCTGTTACTAACCGCATGATGGAGGTAGCTCAAAGGACAATGTTAAGAATCTCTGTGTTTAAAAAAAAGAAAAGAAAAAGAAAAAAGTCTTCTAAGACCCATGAAACTGGGATCCCTGGGTGGCGCAGCGGTTGGGCGCCTGCCTTTGGCCCAGGGCGCGATCCTGGAGACCCGGGATCGAATCCCACATCGGGCTCCCGGTGCATGGAGCCTGCTTCTCCCTCTGCCTGTGTCTCTGCCTCTCTCTCTTTCTCTCTCTGTGACTATCATAAATACATAAAAATTTAAAAAAAATTAAAAAAAAGAAGACCCATGAAACTGACCCTTTGTCTTCTGATCTGTTAAAAGGAATAGCTAAATAAGAATTAGTGGAGAGGCGCCTGGGTGGCTCATTCAGTTGAGTGTCTGACTTGATTTCGGTCAAGTCACCATCTCAGGGTCCTGGGATCGGCCAGCAGTGGGGGGGGAAGGGGGCGCAGTGCTTGGTGGAGGAGGTCTGCTTGATGATTCTCTCTCCCTTGCCTCCCTGCCCTCCCCCAGAGATGCTCGTGCTCTCTCTCAAATAGATAAAATCTTTAAAAAAATAAAATTAATGGAATCAGCTGAATTAGAGATTGGGCTCTTAAAATCTTTAGGACAGTGTCCTTGTCAGACAAGGTAGTTTTAACTCTGATTTGTTTTGCTTCACTCATTTTTTTTTTTGAATGAGGAAGAAGTGATAGAAATCAATACATTTACTACTAATGCCACTTGCCTTAATTATTTCCAGTTTGATGGGGAATGAACACTACATAAAACAAACTCCAGGGCTCAGCTTTGACAACCAAAGTCCAAAGTCAGTCACACTCTGAGAATTCTCTGCAGTTGCAAGAATTCTGGGTGCTATTTAGAAATCAACAATTTAAATAATGTCTTCACTCTCTGAATTTCCAAAGGGTTCCTCCTCATGGAGAATGTACTGATACGCATTACCACACTAAAAAAAAAAAAAAAAAAAAACATGTATAGCCCTGGTGAGTTATTTCATAATATATTCCAGAAAGCTGCATTTTGGTTACAGATACAAGCTTAGAAGTATGGATTTACACACATTTATAGATATATCATTTATAGTGAGTTAAGTAGGGCATTTGAGATCATTTCTATCCCAGCTACCAAAACTTGGCAATCAGGAGTTGGTTGAGAGCAAAATTCCCTAATATTTACATATTCTGAGAAAGATAAACGTCAACGTATATTATCTTAACATGTAACATTTCTTCCAGAAATGTAACATGACTTTAAATATTATCCAGTATTTTTTTCACTAATTTATTCTATTCATATTATCCAGTAGAAGTCTAGGGTTAGTCACCCTAGTTAGTCATAATTTTGAAACTTTAAAGTTACCTTGAGTACTTTAAGTATCATTTCATAAAGCATTTTTAAGAAAATAGCACTGATTTTTTTTTTCTCAAATATAATGAGTGCTTTCACTGTTCCCCCTCTGGCAAACATCATATTTTTTAAAAGGTATTTCATTCTGACGATCTAGAAGATTCCACCTGACAAAATATCTTTTTAATTAGTATGCATCGATTTTTCTAAGTGTTCCCGGCTAATCTGATTTATAAAATGATCCCTATGAGTCATGAAAGATAAAGTCTGAGGAACTTTATATATTAAGCTGTAATCAAATACACACGTTGGCTTACCAAAACTGAAGTCAACCCTGAAGTACTCTAAGTGAGAAGCTCTCCTGGCAGAAGGAAATGTGATACTCACCACAAGCAAAAGAGTGGGGGGATAAAGTAACTCCACCCCTTATCACCAAAACATCCAAAAATCTTTGAAATGTAGTCATGTAGGTTTAAAGAGTTTAGGTTATATCACTAGTGCATTCCCTGCCCCAAAGAACATTTATTTTAAGAAGCAAGAAGGAGAAAATAGAAACTTGCTTCTTCACATTGCCGTCTAAAGGCAAGTTGCAGCAAACACCAACTTGGCAAACCAAGAGACATACGTGCTTTTGTTAATCGTGTCTTTATAGTCTGATGTCTATTTTCGCTGTTTTTTTGACCATCTCTCTGTGTTTTGCTACAATCCAGCACTCTTACTGCTACTGTTGTATGATGATGTCACAGATATATTGAGCATTAAAATGGAAACATCCAGAGTACTGGTCCTAGTAAAAAATTAGGCCAACTAGCCAATGTGCTCTTACAAACATGGTGGGTCAGTTTTACAGAAAATGAATGTGCCCCCCCCCCTTTTTTTTAAAGGAAGTGAATTGTGTTTCTACTCTATTTGGCGAAAAAAAATATCACAGATTCAAATTTTCAGGCCTGATGTGAAAAGCTATAATGTAACTGCATTGACTGACAAGTAGAGATCTTGAATGCCTTTGAATAAAGGTCTACTTTTGTTTCCCATGTGAACCTAAACTGGTCTGTGATACAAAATGTCTGATGACAGGGCATCTAGAACAGCCCACCCACATCTTTTCATTTTCTTTGTGAAAACATTAACAATGCCAGCCTACACTCACATTCATAGTAAGACAGGAATGTATCACTGAGAAAACAGATATGGAGAAACCTCTGCATTTGAAGAAAATCAGAAACTTAGTCATTTAGCATTAAAAATCATACCTGGAATCTCACTTTCACTTATGTGAAGCTGAAATTACACTTCTTTGATTCCACGTCCTATATTTAATTTCAGAATAAGTAACTATTTTACTCTAAGTTAAAATAAAAAGTAGGCAAATACAAATAAAGATCAAATATGATAGAAACTTCCACATCTTTTTATCTCAAAAGGCTACCCAGTTTCAAAGAAATTTCTATTTTGCTGGTCTGAAGCTTTGAGTTCAGAACAAAAATTTCCTACTTTGTAATCATAGACCTGTTACCGTTTAACGATTTATTTCCACTTACAAATCATGCCCTGAAAAGAAAATAATGCACAAGGACTTTTAGCAACTGGAAAGTTATTTGATTGCAATCCTTTTGCAAATATGAATTCCATATTTAACTGTAATCAGCAACCTTTTAAAAGCCTCTTTTGTGCTTAAAACCAGGCTTCCTAGAGCCTGCGTCTGCCGTAATTGGGTTTCTGAAGTCTATATGGCTTGCTTCACTTGCCTTCTGTGTTAAGACCGGTAAGAGCAACGTTTATTGAAAGCAAAGAGGAGGAGAGAGAGATCACAATATCCAACACTGCGAACAAGTCCATCTTTTCCCAAAGGTCCACCAATGTTTGTTTGCTGTATTCTCTCATTTCAGCTGCTGGTAGGGATTATCCAGGCTGCCGAGCTGCCTGCCTTGGACATGGGGGGCACATCTGATCCCTATGTGAAAGTGTTTCTGCTGCCCGATAAAAAGAAGAAATTTGAGACAAAAGTCCACCGAAAGACCCTTAATCCTGTCTTCAATGAGCAATTCACTTTCAAGGTATTTTTTTTTTTTTTGTACTTACTAATAACTTTTCCTCTGTGGTTCTTAAAGACAGATCTCATCCTGACACGTCCATAGACATGCACATAGCCACGCGATCAGAGGCTCACAAATGAGTCTATTCAGAATATTTAAAATTCTTATCTTCAGTCCCCTGAGGATCCTACACTGCATTTAGATTTGGTCAAAGTAGGATTCAGCTCAGCCATTTCGGAATGGAATATAGATTGGAATATGACAAGGATGTTATTCACATCTAAAAAGGGAGGTTGGCTTCAAGTGAGCAAATGGACTTGGACATTGCCCCCTCTCTGAAAGAAAGCCAAAGCACTAATGAAATTATTATTTTTCTAAGTCTCAAAGTTCCTGAGAATAAATCACAATCACAGAACAAAGCAAAGCTGTGTTCCACTGTTTAAATGGTACAAATTGGTTTTACTCTCACTGCAAAATTCTGGGTGTACAGGGGGCAATCCAAGCACACAAAACCATTCTTAACCTATCAATAAAAAGAAGAGGAACCTATTGTCTTTCTGCATTTCTAGCATTTTCCCTTGACTCTCATTTCTTCCCTAGTGTTCTTCATCTTGTTGAGACACCTCAGTTGACAAACAGTAACAAAGAGATTCTGGCCATATAATAATACTTGGACAGGAAAATGTGCTCTGCGAGCCTCAGGCAACTCTCTGCATACACAAGCTCTTGTCTCGAAGTCATGCGTAAAAACAGTTCTTTGGTAGCTATCTTTAATATGTGAAAAAAAATTTTAATGCATTACTTAAAATAATACATTTCTGAAAAATGAAAGGTCTGTGAATATGCCAGCAGGCAGATTCAAAATCATTCATCTATCAGTCAGGCTTTGCAACGGCATGTGCCTCATGTTGGCAAATACTGCGTATAAAATAAATGGATGAAACTGAGGGCATGAGTCATTTTCTTGAGCCTTGTTTCCAATTTCGTAAAAGAGCAGTGTCTTTCTATTCACTCTGAAATTTGAGGTTTTAAGTCAAAATGATCCCCAATGTACTGTTAGTAATCTTACCTAAAAAAACTACACTATTCTATGTCCAGAAAGCTCATTCTATGCCCACAGTAACAATAAAAACGTTCTGAAATTACTCAGCTTATGAAGAACTAATCACCATGGCCAAAACGCCACAAAATGAAAATAAAACTAATAAAATATTGCAAATGGTAATCACAATCATACTATTTGACTATGTTTTAATCTTTATTTAAGGTCAGCAATTTCTAGCCACAATTTAGCAAGCAGAGTCTTAAATTATTTGAAATACTAGGGAAGCTTTCTGTTTTGAGTTACCTGTATGTTAACTCGAAGGAAGAAAAAAAATGTATTGCTACAACTTGATGAGTAATTTCTGCGGCTTCAAGTTTAATTACTGAAATTTTTTAAATGCCTCTAAAATTTTATCAGGTTCCATTTTATTTCAAGAACGTTGATCAAACCATAAATCAATCCAAAGTGTAATATATTTTGATACACTTAAGGACCACGCTGCTGTTTCCAGAGAATTGCTTAATTTCGCCAGTAAATGCTGTAGATTATGCATCTTGAAATGCCAATAGGCAAGATGATAGAAGAACAAAAGCGTAATAGTTTAAAGAGGATCGGCTTTAAAATGGAGTTAAAATCCACTTGACATGAACTTGACATGCTCCAACCTAAATGGCTCTTTGCCTCAAAACAAACTCCCACCTGAAGGAGCTACTAATCATTCGAATCGCAAATACAGAAGTGCCTACTGTGTTAGCACCGTGCTAAATGCCTCAGGTATTCATTCAGCCTCAAACAGCCTTGTGAAGTGGGCTCTATTATTATCACTATTTGGTAGATGAATATTGTGAAGTTGATTCACTTGTCCCGGGCCTTTCAGCTGGAAAGTGGGAAAACCTAGACCCAAGCCAGCCTAACACCAAGACAAGTCCAAGAATGTTTGGACTAACGTTCTTTCAGTAGAATCACCAAAAAATCCAGGGTGATTTCAGAAGTAATATGAAATTTTAAAAGTTTATCCTCATTTCCTCATTCTAAAATTCATCTCTTCCTTTGAAATCAGTGGTTTGGAGGGGTTTATTTTTTTTCTTCTAAAATGGAAAAAGTATTGTTCCTACATTTTAATCAAAGTATTTTAATCAGACTCCAAATAGATGACAAATAAGTGACAAAAAAACAACTCTTAAATTAAAATTTCTTATACATATATGGTAAAATATGCTTCCCTCCCCTTCCCTTAATATACAGAGTTCACAGAGAAATGTTTGATGGAGCAAAGATAACCATTTACACTGATAAATAAAAATTGATTGAAACTTCAATACAAGTCTAAACAATTTCTTAATTAGGCATTTCTACCCAGTTACTGAAGTGTAGCTTACTTAGAATGCACTACTTTCTCTGCATATTAAAAATGTCACTAATAAAAATCCCAACCCATAGCATCTGTCCCAGATCTTTCTGAACAGCTGGAGAATTCATTAGTTCTTGGCCTTTTGCCATGACTCATCCTAAAGTGTCGTACCTAAGAATGAACTTCAAGATCTATATTACAATGCATCTCTGATACTCAAAACATCAATTTTCTAGTCAGCTCTTGTCAATCAGTAAATTATTTTAGGCAATAGGTGAGGCAACTTGTGAATTTCATTTAAATCCTTTCTGACTTCTAGCACGTCTTTTCCTAAATTACTGCTCCATTCAACTGTGGCATCCAAATGGCTCGAAAGAGTTAACAAAACTTTTGAAGCAAGTTTTGTACCCCAAATAAGCTATACCCTGGGGCAGCCCCTGTGGCGCAGCGGTTTAGTGCCACCTGCAGCCTGGGGTGTGATCCTGGAGACCTGGGATCGAGTCCCACGTCGGGCTCCCTGCATGGAGCCTGCTTCTCCCTCTGCCTGTGTCTCTGCCTCTCTCTCTTCTCTCTCTCTCTCTTCTCTCTCTCTCTCTCTCTCTCTCTCTCTGTGTGTCTCTATGAATAAATAAATAAAAATCTTTAAAAAAAAAACTATACCCTGACAATGTAACTAATCATAATAATGATTAGAAAAATCTTCTACAAGTAAAACACGGTCAAATGCAATTAAGCTTGGTTTATTCTTCTGTTAAACAAATTCCCACCTGAAAGAGCTACTAATCATTCAAATGATAAATATTTAAGTGCCTACTGTGTGCCAACACCACTAAACCTTAAAGTGTTCATAGCATGACTAATAGCAAGACTTATTATCATTAATGCTAACAGCTTCAAGAACTTTAGGATAAAGTAATAAAAATGACCTATGGCTAAGTCTCTATTTTTCTCCTAACTTAAGCCTTGAGCAGTTATTCAAGTGATTCACTTAAAAAAAAAAAAAAGCATGATTATCCCATTTTATTTATCCAGTTTGAGTATTAGAATTAAATACTGTAAACAAGTAACCTGTTTTAAGCTTTTTTGTGACCAGACTTTTATCTTCACCTCTTTTTATTTAGGTGCCGTACTCAGAACTGGGAGGCAAAACCCTGGTGATGGCTGTGTATGATTTTGATCGTTTCTCCAAGCATGACATCATTGGGGAATTTAAAGTCCCCATGAACACAGTGGATTTCGGTCACGTAACTGAGGAGTGGCGCGATCTGCAAAGTGCGGAGAAGGAAGAGGTAAGGAAAACATTAGCATTTTTAATATGACAAGCTGTACTTGCCAGTTGCTCCTCACATTATAACCTACTGAGAGATGCTCTCTACGAAGGATGATGTGGGCCTCCAGCTGCTGACAGCTGGCAAAATAGGGTTAAGGGATTGCATAACCTCATTAAAAAGTATACAGGTCTTCTGGGTCTTATTTGAAAGAAAAGAGAAAGATTTATGCACTGTGTCTATTGAGAATTCCCTGGACACACACACACACACACGCCCACTATCTGCTACTAAAAAGCTTACAAAATGCCAGACACGCACACATCTACTTTTTTAAAAGGACAGTGAAAAATCATCTTATTCTTTGTATTTTTCCACAATCATTTTGTGTTTTCTACATAGGTTATGTAGCTATTAAACAGAAATAAAAGAGCACTTTTCCCTTGATTATTTCTGCATACCACAGACTGTTCATTGTTTCTCCTACAGATATCAGAGCATGATGGGTGGAATATCAAATATAATTCACAAAGGCTGATATTAAAATCCATTTTTTAAATGACTCACATTTTTATAGTACTCTTCACATTGTTTTTTTTCCCCAGTTTTAATAGTTCAGCCCAGAATTTTTCTGTGATTTAAAATGGGAAGTTAAATATCCTTAGTGCATTTAAACTACATAATAATCAATTCTATTTGATTATGCTATGCCTGCCTCGTGCTTTTCTGTACAAATGTCTCAACAGGCCAATATCAGAAAGGCAAACAAGTCTAGCTTCTCTGATTTCCTAAGGCGACTCCTTTTCTAGCCATTTTTTGGGTCCTGACAATTCCTTGGGGAGATTATACACCCATGGGATTGTCAACAGCCTCCATCCTTCAGGATTCCTAAGACTGTGTAAGGTGTGATCACTTTGAGCCCACTAGGGAGATCAAAGAGTGGCTCAAGCCTTCTGAGAAACTCAACCAAGCCTATCACCTGGGAGTCCTCTCAAGCTAATATTTTCTGGGACCAGTGTAACTAAGTGAGGCTTTAGAGCAGGTTTGTTGATTGCTATACCGAAATCAAATCTTATTAGTGCTCTAAGATTATTATGTGGTTGTAAAAAAGAAATAAAAAGTATTTGAGTTAAGCTCTGCTTTCCTTTTGGAAAGAAAGATATATAACTTAACCAAATATATTAGTTTAAATTAGATTCTTGGATATTGAAATGAATTTAGTCCCACTGTGGATATTCAAAAACCACCCAAGGATAATATTGAGTTTTTAAATTTTGTTATTTTTATAAGTAGTTCTTCTCTTTGAGTGAACTAATATCAATATCAAATCCAACATCTCTTTGAAAAGAATCACTTGATTATAATGTTTCTAATCATTTCACGAAGTAATGAGTTGTTTCATTGAATTTTTATATTTCATTGAAATGTTTTACTCTGTAAATGCCTTGCAGTTGGGGTGCAAAGTGGGACTGTAACAAATATTAACCAAAGGGTTTTCATTAGCTGATTGGCTAATGGTTAGCTTGTTGGTTAAGTGTTGAAATATGACCCACTCAGGGCACCTGGGTGGCTCAGTTAGGTTAAGCATCTGCCTTCAGCTCAGGTCATCATCTCAGGATCCTGGGATTGAACCCCATGTCCTTGGACTCCCATTCAGCAGGGAGCCTGCCTCTCCCTCTTCCTCTGCCCCTCTCCTGCTCATTCTCTCTCTCTCTCTCTCTCTCTCTCTCTCTCTCTCTCTCATAAATAAAATCTAAAAAAAAAAAAAAAATGACCCACTCATGCTTCAAAATGGCTCCTGGTCCACAGTTTCTGGCTCATACCCCTCACTTTCACCTGATAACTATCAAGTGATGGTGGTATTCCAAGATCACACTGGACTGGGTTTCTGAAAAGCTAACCAGTATTTTTGCCTGAGTTAAGAAAATGAAAGCCATTGAGCAGTTTTCCTCTTTCAAAAATTCTCTGAATATGGGCAGAGTTTGAGACTTGGAAGTAAGCTGACAGGCTTACCTCTAAAATCTAAAAGAGTAGATAGACTGCCTCCAAAGAGTCACATTTTTCTTCTCACCCTCTTACTTGCCCTCTTCTTTCTCTATTTTTCTTCTTCATGTCTTCTCTCCCTAAGACTTTTTGTAGCCCAACTCATTCAAAAATATTATGTGGATATTTACTATACATTGCTACATTTCTGGAACTGTGTAGGTACTAAAGAAAGTGAAACAACACTGCTCCTGCTCTCATGGTGTACAGTGTGGTCTCCTCGTCCTTCCCCATGTTAGTGTTTGCCTTGTTTATTGTCAGTGACCCTGGTTTCTGGAAAAAAGTCATCTTGGAGATCAACCACTCCTGGGTTTCAATTCTGATGAGTCCATTTACTAGCTCAGAGAAGTTGGACATATCACTTAAGCTCTCTAAAATTCTGGAAAAAAGTCATCTTGGAGATCAACCACTCCTGGGTTTCAATTCTGATGAGTCCATTTACTAGCTCAGAGAAGTTGGACATAACACTTAAGCTCTCTAAAATTCGGTTTTTTGATCAAGAAAGTGGTTTAACATTATCTACCCCTTGTTTTCAGATTAAGTAGGACAGAGTATAAAGTGCCTGGTATAGAGCCCAATATGTGGGAAGTGTTCTGCAAGCAAGAGATCTCCCATTCTTTCTTCTTGGCCACTCTTTTTTGTGTTCTCTTTCACTCTGTGTTTTTACCTTCCTATTCATTCTGGCCTTTCCCCTCTATCCAAATCTACTTCTCTCCTTTTTCTCATCACCATTGTATTTACTGAATGTCTCTGCAAGTTTTTAATGGGAAATAATTCTACAAGTACATTCTTAAACTCCTGAGACTTCCCTCATTGATATCTACTTAGGAATAGTAATTTTTGGTTTGAAGTTGAGTGACTGTTTTCTTTTATCATGTTATAGGAAGTCTCATAAAACAGGTATCTAGCTTACAAAGTATCTCTGGATGACTAGAACCGGGTATAAATTTCTCATAATAAATGAAGTGAGATTCCAATCACATTTTTTTTACCTGAAGAATTATTCTTGCTGATATATGCTCTATTTTTTTCATGCTACTGTCCATTAACTGCAGAAAATTATAGTTGTGTGAATGAATTGCAGTCTTAAATTGACTTTGGTTCTCACAATTTTAAAGATATTGTTTTTCCGTTCTACGTGAACAATTCTCATGATTTTCATTTTTCTTTCATCTCATAGTGTTAAGTATTATTTTTAATATAATAATGAATGGAAGATATCTACAAAAGAGGGGAAAAAAGAATTCAAGAAACAGCTTTGGAATCTAGAAACTGAACCACTCATCACAGTAGTCTGGTTCAGGGTGACAACTGGATTTAAATGGGTTAAATCCAACGCACTGAGATCCAACCCTGTGATTTTTGGCTTTGTTGCCAGAAAGCTGAAAAATATAAAAGTCATAAGATGATGAAGCAACTATGCAAGTTAAAAATGTGTTATTTTAGTGATCAACTAAATGTGCAAGCGATTTGGGAAGGAGCCTTACCTGAAAGCTACCAAACACATGTTGAAAACGTAAGGTGTGTCAAAGAGATTAGCTACGCCAGGAAGAGCCCTAGCGAGCACATGGCTCCCAATGGTAGATTCTAGCCCTTAGGGAAAGCATTTCTGGTTAGGTTTCCATTCTGACTTGATAAGTTTCTCTGACAGAATCAAAGCCACCTTATTGGTTTAAGCTCACCCACATTCTCTCTCCTTCCACCTCCCAACAGATGAAGATGGAATTTGACTTTACAGACCACTAGATCTTTTTCTTCCTTTTGTTTCTTTAAAACAGAAATGTATATCCTCAGAGTGGAGAGACAGTAACATAAAACTTATTTTCCCTTTTTTTTAGAATAGAGTCTCAAAAAACATCCTTTTACAAAAGGTTTTTAGTCACTTATTTGCAAAATGTTTCTAGTATGTATAACTTCAGGCTATGTTCTTGAGATATTCTTCTTAATCATTCAAAAAATATTGATGCCACCCACAAGTCAAACCTGAACCTAACCTTCACGCTTTTAGAATAGTCCATTAACGTGAGACAGCTGCTTAATTTTTTCAGATGGTACAATCAATGGCTATCATTCCATTTTTCTTTTTAAATTTTATTTATCATTTAGAAATTGTCTCAGTTCTGTACGCCAGCATCATCTGTAGTCCAGCATCTTTAAAGCACTTAGATTCTTTTTATTTTATCATTTTGTCCCTAATTTTACTTTTAACCCCCATGACTTCCACTATTATTTATCTCTAAAGACAGCATAAGAAATAGATACTACCAGAAAACAACTGAGGGTTTTTTGATTTTCGAGTAAGTCTAGCTTATGATTTTACCAGTACTATTCTTTTTCCTCCATTAGAGAATAAGTCTATCACCTCTGCTTTGTGTATAATTCATTAAAGAGTGATTTTTAAATGAGATTCTGTAATCCAGTGCAAATGGAAAAAAAATTGATTGCTGAATTAAAGCTAGTTGGGACATAATTTAATTAGTACCCAAGCAGAAGGGAAGAGAAACTACTTTAGTGCCTTAATAGAAAATCAATTTTGCAACAAAATTTCACATTTTTAAGCCTAATTAGAAAAACATTTACTTCACAGGAAAGCATTTGGACAATACATATTCAGTCAAATGGCAAAAGCTGTTCAGCATCCAATGGTAAATTACTTGATATTTCTTTGGAATGGGTTAAACTCATCATTCCTTATGACATATTTTATGTCCAAAGATCATAAAAGAACTGATGTTATTTCCAAGTATACTTAGCAGTCAGATGGTAACTCATGCCCTCTGAGAGTCTCTGCACAATAAATCAATGCCCTGAATGAAAATCCTCACAAAAGGTTAACTGGTGGAATTTTAAACATGGATGCCAATGAGAACCTTCCTCGTCATTCACAAACTATCTCATTAGAGAAATCCAGCAAAGACACTTATTTTGATCCATAACATTCCAGAAACTTATATTTATTTGTCTTTGCTTCCTTGTGC